GTGCAGCACGGAGAGCTGCACAGTGCGTGACATCCTGCTTTGCTTATCCTCCCCTTGCAGGCACGTCCGGCCAGGGGGTGGCTTCGTCCCCAACTTCCAGATCTTCCAGAAAGGGGATGTGAATGGGGCCAAGGAGCAGAAGGTCTACACCTTCCTCAAGGTGGGTGCCATGGCAGGCAGGGTGTGAGGGGGCAGCACCCAGCCTGTTTCTTAGCAGGGCAAGGCAGCGATACACTGGCCTTCTCATTGCAGAACGCCTGTCCCCCGGTGGCAGAGGAGTTTGGGAACCCCAAGAACCTGTTCTGGGAGCCTCTGCGGAACCACGACATCAAGTGGAACTTCGAGAAGTTCCTGGTGGGCCCCGATGGGGTGCCTGTCATGCGCTGGTACCACCGCGCCAACATCGCCGTGGTGAAGAACGACATCATCGCCTACATGAGGCAGCAGCAGCAGCAGCCTCAGCCGCCGCCACAGCCGGAGGAGGAGAGCCGGTAGAGGCCAGGGCTGCCAGCCCGAGGGGTGGCTTCTCGCCTCTGCCAGCATTCCCCTCGTCCCAGGATGTTCCCCAGCAGCAGGAGCCAAACACCAAGCCAGATGCTGCCCCTACCATCGCTCCCCTCTCTGGCACCCCCCCAGCCGGGATGCTGGGCTGGGCAACGTGGTGGCAGAGACCTCAGCGATGGAAAGGGGACGTTCCCCCATGAGCCCACGTCCCACCTCCACCCTTGGCAGCGACATCCCCTCCTGGCCCCCAGCTTGCCCCCCCTGCTCTGCCATCCCACCTTGCTGCGCAGTGGGAGGGTGCAGGGGCTGCCTACCCCTGGAGCAGAGGACTACGTCTCCATGAAGGCTGAGCCTGAAAGCCCCTGGTGCGGGGCGGGCCTGGCCTGATCCTGCCAGGCACGGAGCAGCTCTTCAGTGCATTCAAGCTGCCCGTGGCCCTGCTGCAGAGACGTGCTCCTCTCCCAACCAGGGGCGGCTGGCCCCTCGCCCCCCACCACAGAAATGTCAAATAAAGGCTGTGAAAACGCACCGCAACATCTTGGCCAGGGGTGGGGAGGAAGGGGTGGGCACAGTGGCCAGCTGGGGGGTACCAGCAGGAAGGGGTAGCTCCTAGCTAGAGAAACTCCCTTTTTTCTTTTTCTAGGGCAACTGCAAACATAGATTTATCATTGCAGCTCAGCATTTGGGGAGGGGATGGGGAGGCTCAGTGCAGAGCACAGAGGGGCAAAAGCAGCAGGGATCAGCTCCCAGTGAGGAGCAGGCTGGGCACAGTGCCTGCTATCCTGCACGTGACACTCATGCTCACAGAAATAGAGTTGTTGTTCTTGGCTTGTTTCCCCTCCAGCCTTGTTTTCCTGGAGCAAGATTTGCTCTATGCAATTTGAAAGACTGGCCCCAAGGGAAAGAAAGCAGGGAGCTGGGGTGACCCTGCCCTGGCAGAGGTTAGGGGCACAAGAAAGGAGGGTGAGGGGCTGAGCCCAGTGCCCAGGGGAAGGCGCGGGGCACACACTCAGGGCAGTAGATTCTGGAGGGCCCACACAAGGGCTGGAGACCCCAGACCCCTATGCTCACTCTGGCCCCTCAGCACTGGCTACACTTGAGCACACAGGGATGAGCAGCCCTGGCATCCTTCCCAGTGCCCATGCAGAGGCTGCCTCAGGGGAAGCGGGTTTGGGATAAAACCAGAGAGACTTGGCTACACTTCAGTCCTTAAATAAATACAAAGACACCAACCACTCTGGGCCCAGGCCGTGGCTGCAGCAGGCACCTCCCTGCGAGGACCAGAGGTCCCCCTG